ATGCCGTGCAGGAAGTACATTGCTTATTTTGTGCTGTACACCGTAAAATGGCTGCCTGTGATAAGGTTAACCTAAAGTTTCTGTATAATTTGGAATGAATGGGAAAAAGAGCATTAATTCACTGGTGTGTAAATGAAGGTTTACTCAGTAATCATTACAAGTATTCTGCTTGCATGATGAAAATGTGTATGGTCAAATGTAAAGATTGTTCAGATGGCTTTGTCACAAGAAAGGTCCAAATGCTCACTATATAAAGTGTTCCATTAGAAAGAGATCATGTTTTGAGGAAAGTCATTTGAGTATTATCCAGATTTGGATTTTTACGTGGGTGCGGGTGTATGAAGCTAACACTAAAATGATCAAGACTGAATTAAATTTGATTCTTATTTTTGTGAATTTACGTGACAACAGCAGTATACAGATTCTAGTTTAGATAATTTTACAGAGTTTTTGCATGTTGTTAAGGAATTTTGTGTGTCACACATATCGGAGGAACAAATGGTTGATCTTTGGATTATGGTAACTTGGCGATTTTTTGGCGAAAATTTGGCGACCAACTCTGCTACAGCAACCATCTTTTTTTTTTTTTCCCGCAATTTTGTCTTCACGAAGTAAAGACATGTTTCTTTTCTTTTTATTTACTGAACACTTTTTCTAACAATCCACTAGCCGAATTACACTTATGCTAGAAATTTTATGTTACAAAACTGCTTAATCATGACAAATATTAACTGCAAAATTGGGAAAAAGTGCACAATCGCAAACTCCTTGCGTGTTTTTCAGAATAGCACATACACATAAACCATTTACACGTCAACTTATTTTTACTTAAAAAAACATCCCAGAATTGCACAAAAATGGCATTGCACACACTCTTAACTTTATCCATCTACACTGCTATTTTCTCATAAATTACAAAAATTTGCACGAAAATGCAAAAAAATTCTGTGAATCTTTACACTCGGTAAAAAGCACATATATGAAATTACCTGATCGCGAAAAAGTATATACCCTTTACAAGGATGAACATTTCCACGTATAAAATAAATAAAATATCCAAAAACTTTTACCTCTAAATTATCTATTATATTATAAACGTCACCAACGAATTCATACCGCAAACATTACAAATGGTTACAAATACTTACTGTCAAATATTTAAATTACTTCCATGCACGTTTACTTCAACTGAAACGTATACCAAATTCCTACAAACATAAAATTCACAAAATAACTATCATTTAATTAAAATATCACTAAACCATGTACACGTCGACTTATTTTTACTTAAAAAAACATCAAAGAATTGCACAAAAATGGCATTGTGCACACTCTTCAATATATCCATGTACACTGCTTTTTTCTCATAAATTAGAAAATTTCTTGAAAATGCATGAAAATACTCAAAAATATTAAATTAAAAAACACTACTTAAAATATAAATAAGCACATACATTAAATTAATAAAAATTAGATTACAATCCTAATTACTTTAAACTAAATCATTGCTAAAAACAATTTTCCAATAATATCATATTAATTTATTTATTCCTTACATTTAGAACAATGCATAAAAATAATATCCTCAAATGATTAAAAATACTAACTTACCTAATCTTCAGAATCTTCATTACGTGGCACGCACACTTCCACTATTTCACACAACACACAATGAAGCTTAATACAAAATAATATAGTACTACAGTTTTCCAAATTCCCCCCCTCCCTTTTCCTATTAAAGAACTGTAATTCATCCATTAATGTCACATGACATAATCTCATGATCTCTCATTTCCCTCACACAAAATAATGCGTAATCGGAACTGAGTACTTCTCACATTATTACCAAAGTCCTAGGTAGTAACCCTTTATCCTTTATCGCCTCCAAAATGTCGCCAAACTACCAGTTACCATATTCCAAAGATCAGCCGAACAAATTTTTAAATAAGGTAATCATTATTTCCTTTTTGTATTACATACAATTACGTTACGTAGATAACATGTATTACCATTCCTATGTTACTTACTTTTTTTATTTAAAATGCAGTTTATAGAGATTATATATTTTTTGTTTTAATTATGCTTTGGATGCCATTTTATTGGGGAGGGTTGTAGGACGTAAACAGGAATGGCGCCAAAAAATCACTCAGGAGTACCCTAAAATATATTTTTATCAAAAAAAAAAAAAAAAAAAAAAAAAATGCAATTTGTACTGTGTTAAAAAGTGCAAAAATCTCATTAATTTTTGTTAGCTTCAAAACTACACTTAGAAAAGGACGTCATTCTATAGAATGAATGCTGGCAATCATCCAATTATTATCAGATGAAACTAAGAAATGCTTAAAATAATTAAATTAATATCTAAAATGTAAAAAAGAATTACCATGCAGTTTAATATATAAAGCAGATGCAAAAACCATGAAGGGAAGCATCTAAAAGGACAAGCAAATGATTAGCATATGCAAAGGTTAGCAAATGCATGCATCTATAATGCCACTTTGGAAACACTGTGAAAAGGGTTGAGTACAGTGCTTAAGCAAAAGATTTTTTGTTTTGTTTTCAACTGCTCCCCTGTATAAGAAGCTGCAGCATGCATCACTGAAAAGATGCAATTAGTCGAGCAAACTTTTCTAAGTTTGAAAAAGGAGGAAATGCGGCTATGACCAAATTTTCTTTTAAGAAATTGGTGCTCATGCAGGATGAATTAAATTCCAGACATGAAATTGTGGGAAGGCAGTGACCATCAGACAGGAATTAACTGTACCAGCATCTATACACTTCCAAACCAGAGGATGAACATGTTATGTGCATGGCTTTCATGGATCACACATCAAGAGAACACCTATGTTTCTAACTAATTTTCTTAATAATTACCTAACTAATTTTCTTTGCATTAATTTAAAATGATTTATAGCAGCTGATATTTTCCAGGCTTCTTAGGTAAACATAGGTGATTTTGTTTTTCCCAGCTTATCTGAGAAAACTTTAGTTCACTGTACAATAAACAATTATTTTGGCAAAAAGAAGTGATATACGTTTTACTGCAAAATAAAATGTGTGCTTTTGTCAATTTTATTTTATTCTGAATTTGTAAATGTAACTAAAATAAATACTATTCGTGAATCAAGGTAAAATTAAACCTGTTCCCTTCACTAGGATAAATATATCTTTTGAGTGAGATAGATTTTTTTTTTTTTTTTTTTTTTTTTTTTTTTGTATGATAATTAAATGCATATTAAGTTGTCTGATAAATTACGGCAGTACGTCTAACAGAAAAAAATATGTGCAGCAGAAATTTTTTTAAAGAATTTCTCTAACTTTTTTATATGTTTATTGCATTGAAATTTTCTTATCTTTATTATGATGCAAGAGATCCGGATTTAAGATTTCAGATGAAGAGTGTGTAACATCAAGAAATTATTAGCTAATTTTTCATTATCTTTTCAATTATGTTGTCCTTGTATTTGGCACCTGCTGTTTTAGAAATTCGAAGGCATGTGTGTTTAAATTTGCGTTTAAACTTCTGCTGAATAAAATTGGTTGATCTTTAGATTATGGTAACTTGGCGATTTTTTGGCGAAAATTTGGCAACCAACTCTCCTACAGCAACCCTCTATTTTTTTTTTTCCCACCGCCATTTTGTCTTCAGGAAGTAAAGACATGTTTCTTTTCTTTTTATCTAATGAACACTTCTTCCAACAATCTACTAGCCGAATTACACTTATGCTAGAAATTTTATCTAACAAAACTGCTTAATCATGACAAATATTCACTGCAAAATTGGGAAAAAGTGCACAATACCATACTCCTTACACATTTTTCAAAATAACACATACACATAAACCATGTACACATCGACTTTTTTTTACTTAAAAAAACATCCCAGAATTACACAAAAATGGCATTGCGCACACTCTTCACTATATCCATGTACACTGCTTTTTTCTCATAAATTAGAAAAATTTCACGAAAATACATGACAATTTTCTGAATCTTTAAACCCGGTAAAAAGAACATATATGAAATTACCTGATCGTGAAAAAGTATATACCCTTTCCAAATATGAACATTTCGACATATAAACTAAATAAAATATCCAAAAACTTTTACCTCTAAATCATCTATTATATTATAAACGTCACCAACGAATTCATACCGCAAACATTACAAATACTTAGTGTCAAATATTTAAATTATTTCCATGCACGTTTACTTCAACTAAAACGTATACCAAATTCCTACAAACATAAAATTCACAAAATAACTATCATTTAATTAAAATATCACTAAACCATGTACACGTCGACTTATTTTTACTTTAAAAAAAAATCATATTTGAAAGGTCATGATATCGGTCACCGCAGTTACGCCAACCTCAGATATGACTATCATGATATTGTAGACATAACTGCATTATCCCAGCAGTAAATGCCTGGTAAAGATTCTCCTCTGCTAAAAATTTTAAATGGTTTGTGCTGACACAGATTTTTGTAAAACAGATCCTAATTCTTGCAATAGAGTTCTCTTGATGTGTGATCCATGAAAGCCATGCACACAACATGTTCATCCTCTGGTTTGGAAGTGTATAGATGCTGGTACAGTTAATTCCTGTCTGATGGTCACTGCCTTCCCACGATTTCATGTCTGGAATTTAATTCATCCTGCATGAGCACCAATTTCTTAAAAGAAAATTTGGTCATAGCCGCATTTCCTCCTTTTTCAAACTTAGAAAAGTTTGCTCGACTAATTGCATCTTTTCAGTGATGCATGCTGCAGCTTCTTATACAGGGGAGCAGTTTAAAACAAAACAAAAAATCTTTTGCTTAAGCACTGTACTCAACCCTTTTCGCAGTTATAATCCTTTTAGATTACTCATTATAATCCTAATTTAAATCATTAAAATCTACATGTTTTTATTATACATTGAAAACAAAGCAAAAAACGGATGGACGAATTATTTCCTCTACTGCACCAAATTTATTGAATGCTAATAAACTTACCTATTTCAAGTACAATAAATACAACATTTAAGGATTTCATGCCCGGTTTGATATCCCGTATATTCGTAGGAGTAAACTCCATCATTTATTATTCATTAATAGTTCAAAATTTATCTTAAATTACGGAATATTATATTCCGAAGGAGTAATGCTACGTTTCAACAAAATGCTTAATATTTCTCACAGGAATATCGAATGACAAAGAAATTCAGAACAAAATTTAACATCGACTTCCCAAACGCTTTCCACTGTATTATTTATTCAGCGCTGATCAGGCACTCTACCTGCAAGACTCTGCCTCCTTGGCTTGCAATAACTGTATTAAACTGTTGCCATTTTACAGGCGCAAATCTCTGGCATAGTGCAGTATTCAGCGGGCGTTTTTTTAACATTTTGTGTGTTACCTTATTTTATTAAATAACATGGTCTTCGCACCTAAACCATAAAATTAATTCAACAGTAATATCGCAAAATAATTTTAAAACGAGCATATCTTTAGAATTTTCGATACACAGTCTTGCGCTCTGGAGATAAAAATGTTTTTTTTTCGTAGTTTTGCTATTGCTGTCTTTGAAATCGTTGAGTTTCTCAATCAAAAATTCATAAATGCTTTAAAAAATATGAAATAGATACTAAAAAATTTCAAATTCCAAATTTGTGCTTCCAGACTGGGGCGTAGCTAGAGTTTCCAGCGCCCGAGAACAACTGAAGAATTTGCGCCCCTTTCTGTGTGCCAAAAATGGAAACACTTCAATAAAAAATTTCGTAGCATGAATTTGGCGCAATTTGGATGCTGCGCCCGGGGACAGATGTTCCCCCTTGCCACACCCTAGCTACATCACTGCTTCCAGATGCCCATATTCGGTTGTAAATTACGTAATTCAAAATTTGATGGCTCTAGGTACCGTTGTTTTATCACAATACGAGAAACATACATACATTTGTAGCCAATCAGCAAGAGGCGCAGCAACATTTGTCCTGTTACGTCACAACTTCTGTCTCGACATACAGCCTCTTTTTGGCCGGCGCCGTTGGAGAGAAAAGATCGCTACGCCCGGTACGAGTCTTATTCCTGTGAGTATAATAAAATATATTTTTATATTGAATGCTGTTTCTTTCAATTATGGAGTCAGATCAACCAATATTCCACTTTCAATAGCAACCGTCCCACACATTTACGCAGATTCTTCATTTTCAATTTCTTTAAATATAACACAGGACGATAATATTTGGTGGCAACAATTTGAAAAGGGAACCGTCATTTAAAGTTTTCAACGCAAAATGCGGGAACGAAATTAATAGCCCTTCTGGGCTAACGTCCTTTGGGCTAAAAAAATGGTGCGACATACAGACATATGCACCCCTCGGACTTCCAAGTGCTTAATGAGAATTTCCTGTTTTGTTCAGAGACAAAATGGACAGCAGAACTTTGAAGAAAGATGCAGTAGAAGCCCCTTAGGGTGGTTTCCGGTCATAAGGGACTAATTATTCTTTTTCCAGGTTTTTAACAAAACGAGGAGAGAGCTTTGGGTAAAAAAGGTTTTGATGCTGGAAACGAGTGAAAGCAGACGCATTTTAGCGTCGTTGCAGCGTCAGCGGCTTTTGTATGAATTATGGTTGAAATGATTCAAATATTTTAATATTTATTCAAGAATTTCTTATTAAGTTTTCAAAATAAATATTTTAAAAGACAACTTGTCTTTCCTTGCACCCAACACGGGTGTTCTGACGTTACAATGGATATAATAACAGTTTAAAATAACCAAATAAATTAACAAATAAAAAATCTGAAAGATTTCAGATTTTATATTACGCCCAAACGGGCATTTTTTTAACGTTTTGTGTGTTACTTTTATTTATTAAATATCATGTTCTTCGCACTTAAACCATAAAATTCAATTCAACAGCAATATTACAAAATATTTAAAAGAGCATATCTTTAGAATTTCTTTCATAAGAATAAATTGAATTTAATTAAAAAAATTAAATTTAAATACATTTTTAATTAAATATCCTTTGCGCCACTGCTGCAAGGAATGAAATTTAAATTTAAACAAATTTAAATTCTTAACAAATACGTATAAAAGTAAAAAAGCAAATTTAAATTCTAAAAAAAAGAAAAAAGCCAAAATAATTTTTAAAAAATGTGCAAACATGTAAAAGATTTAATTCTCGAACTAATCTACAATATCATTTAAATTCAGAAGCATAAGCAAATCAAGTGCAAAATCTATCCATGAAAATAAATCTACTAATTTAATAAATTAAAATTAAATTAAACAATTTTTTTAAAAATGCATGTGTGAATGACCGTTGAGTAGGCAGGAGACAGACTTATCAAGGGGAAGTTGCCTCCAAGCCTAACTCTCCAATCATTCAATTCGAGTTTCGTCATTCATGCAGGCTTTAGAATTTCTGATATACAGTCTCGGGCGCTGGAGATAAAAATGATTTTTTTTTTTCCTCCCGCACAGTGCTGCCATTGTTCGCTTTGAAATCGTTGAGTTTCTTAATCGAAAACTCACAAATGCTTTACAAAATATGAAATAGACAATACAATAAATTCCAAATTTGGGCTTCCAGATGCCCATATTCGGGTGGAAACGTACGTTATGCAAAATTTGGTGGCACTATGTACCGTTGTTTAATCACAGTGCGAGAAACATACATAAATTTATGCAGTTTCTTCATTACTTAATTTCTTTAAATATAATACAGGGCGATAATATTTGGTGGCATCAATTTGAAAAGTGATCCACACTTTTAAAGGTTTCGGTGCAAAATGCCAAAATGAAAGTAATAGCCCTTTTGAACTAACTCCCTTTGAGCTCATAATATCTAATTGTTGTTGTAAAATTAGATATGATGTTTCAAATCTCGTAATGCATTGTAAAGAAATTCCGTGGTTACGGCTCACAGCTGTTATTTAGGATTATGCGAAATCAGAGGCTCTGAACTACGGAGAAACATCATAGTTTGAAGGGTAATGCAGTCAGTCTGACACCAACTGTTTTCTGCTGTACCATCAGAAACTATCTAAAGCTAAATAAATTTACATGTATTTTTTGAGTTTTCGAAAGAAAAAAAAAAAGGAAGAATCATCTAATTGTAGTGAAAGGCGTGCTCTGGACAAAACAGGGTGAGAACCACTGCGTTAGGTGCTAGGATAATATTTACGTATCATTAAGCTCACGCTTATTAATGAAATACTACATATGTCATTAATAAGCTACAACTTTCAAGCTACTAAAAGAGACTTCGTACACTGTTATAAGCGAAGCGCCACCTTGCTCCAAGAGTCTTGTCTCTGTTGTTATTTTATAACTTAATTTTAGTTTTCATGGAAGATCGAAAGTGCTAAGCCTAATAATAATGAAGACGTGTGCCTAATAATAATAGTTGTAACCATTGTATTATATGTAAATAAATTTGTGTGCATTAATAACGAAGCGGAATCATCACTTACCTCTGGATTTAATGCTCTCTGAATGGTAATGAAATGGTTACTACATACACTCAATTGCTCGGACTTCTATTCTTTCTATTATAGAAAACGAACTGATCATTTACAAGACCTTTATGTGACACATATTTGCCTATGCGTATCTAAGCATTTGCATGCAAATCCCTACCTAAAAACTGCATTTTATTCCAGGACTTAAAAGAGAAGGGCTAGCTCATAGAGCTTTTCCCTCTGAAGCAGAAAGTGAGAAGTGATGACGTAGTCATGATGACACTGAGCGCGCAGATGCAATTCACAGCTTGAAAATTAGCGATTTTGAACCAGCGTTTGAAATGAGCTGTGTGTGAAAGATAGCTATAATTTGGAAGAGACAATGTTACTGCTTTATGCATTTTAGACTAAACCATTAAAAAATTTAATAATACTTACTCAATTTAAAAATAATAGATAAAATGTGCTACTCTTTTAACATAAAGTTCCGTGGGTTTTTTTCAATTTTTATTTGCAAGTTTTTTAATTTAATGAACGTTTATTTCGAATCATTTCTTTATCTGCATGTGAACTGAGAGAATTTTTATACTGCTTCTAAGATAACTATAATAGCAGCTATTTAAATTTACTCAAAAAACAATTGTACATTGACATAGTTTTAAACATATATGACATATATGGCAACATTTCTGCTAACCTACGTTTGATTTTTTGCCTAATTGTAAATTTTACATTGTTATAATTCTCTTCCGATTCATCATAATAATTTTTTAATAATTTTGTAATTTATACTTATATCTATATCACAATTAAATAAATGTATATAAGATTGTTACCTTAATTTTGACAAAATAGCGATACGATGGCTTTGCTCTTTGCGAACCAGCAAACTTTAATTAATTTTCTGCAATTCAGGATCGTCCCCTAACCCAGTACCTGCATTCACGCCTATTACATAACCTCCTCATATAAATGCTGCGTCATAAGTTTTCTACATTTTTCTAGAAGCTACTCTGTTACATAACCATTCATATAAATGCTGAGTCATAAGTTCTCCTAGACAGATGCCTTCTCGCCTTCGTCCTGCTAACGCTTCCGCTATGCTCCTCTTTCTTTGTTAGAACGTTATGATGTATTAAAGTTTAAAGTCAGTCGTATCTAATAGTTCAATTACTGAATAAGTTATTTGATTAACTTCATCTGGAAAAAGTCATCTGCTATAAATTAAAATAAAGATATGCTTGCTGTTAAAAGTGAAAAGTCCTGAGTCGTCATTTTACTCCGTGTTTCAATCACCCCAGCTTCGTTAACCATCTGCCATAACGTGTAAATGGAATAGCCTCACCATTCGCCCACGATGTGTTGGAATAACTGAAAACATTACATATATATGTATATGATGATTTAGAGCAGTGATTCCCAACCGGTGGTTCGCGAAAATAATATTGTAATAGCGGATTTTTTAAAACGCCATTAAAATCAAAAGAAAAAAAAACATACAAAAATTAAAGAACACACCCACTGTAAAACAGATTGTTCGCTGCCTCTTTGTTAAGAAATCTATAATAAATTTCAAGATTTTCATTTCTTTTTTCCTTATTTGTTTTTTAAAATTACTTCATCAATATCAAATTATATCAACAATTTTATACATTATAATTTATTCCTCTTATTCAAGTAATCAAATACTATTCTCTTTTTATTACAAACATTTATTTATATTTAAAACATTTTATGAATGTAATTAGTATCATGTTCTGCTTTATACTTAAAATCATTGTAGCAGTTTTCCCTTCTATGTAATATTTTTTTTTACAATACAATAGGAAATAAATATCA